AGTCATCAAAGATGCAAAGATAAGGAAGACATGGGACCTCTTAACCACTGGGAGGAGTATAAATTTGTACAACCACACTGGAAGGCAATTTGGCAATATCTGTTAAAGCTAAAGATGCCCTTATGTTACAGTCTAATAATTCTACTTTTCCATGTATACTCAAGAGAAAAACCAAACCAGTTGCATCAAGTCAACTCATGGTGACTCCATGTGTATCAGACTAGAACTGAGTTCCATAAAGTTTCAGTGGCTGATTTTTCTGAAGTAGATCAACAGGCATTTCTTCTGAGGTGCCTCTGGGTGGACTTGAACTTCCAACCTTTCAGTCAGCAGCTGAGCACACATTAATGCTTGCACCACCCAGCGACTCCTATACTCAAGATACTCTCCCTTAAATGCACAAGGAGATATGTAAAATAATTTTCATTAAAGCACTGTCTGTACTCAAGATACTCTCCCTTAAATGCACAAGGAGATGTGTAAAATAATTTTCATTAAAGCACTGTCTGTAACAGAAATAAGGAGCCCTGGTGGTACAGTGGTTAAGTGTTTGGCTGCTAACCGAAATGTTAGCAGTTCGAACCCACCAGCCACTGCATAGGAGAAAGATGTGGTTGTCGACTTCCGGAAAGACTTACAGGCTTGGAAACCCTATGGGGCAGTTCTGCTCTATCCAATAGGGTTGCTATGCATCAGAATCGACTCGACAATGATGGATTTATAACAGAAAAAATCTGGAAACAATCTAAATGTCCATCAACTTAAGAATGCATAAGTAAATTTTTGTATGATTGTATAATGGAATACTATGTAGTTAAAATAAATGAACTAGAATTAGAAATAGAATATGCATAAATCTCAAAAAATATATTGAAAGAAAAAGGAAGTAACTTAAGATACATAAAGTATGCTACCATTTACATTAAGTTTAAATACATGAAAAATACTAGATATTTCTATGTGTGGTAAATATTATATGATGGTGATAGGTTTTTTTTGTTTGTTTGTTTTGGTAATGATAAACTCCAAATTTAGGATAGTCGTTACCTTTGCTGAGAAGGAGGATGATAAAGTATACAGAAGGCTTTAGCTGAATCTGTGTTGCTTCTTTACTAAAAAACAAAAAACAGAAAAGGAAGAGAGAGAGAAAGAAAAAGGGATAAGAAAAAATATGGCAAAATGTTACAATTTGACAACTGAGTGGAGAGGGCAAGAGAGTTTATTATGTTATTTTCTATACTCTGTATGCTTGAAATATTTCATTTAAAAGTACATAATGTATATATAGACAATCCCAAAGAGTCTGCAAGAAAACTTCTAGAGCTAATAGAGGAATTTAGCAAAGTTACAAGCTCAACAAACAAAAATCAGCTAGGTTTCTATACACTAGTGTCATGGATAGAATTGTGTCCCCCTAAAATATCTGTCAAGTTGTCTGGGCTGTGATTCCCAGTATTGTGTTCACCATTTTGTCATTTGATATGATTTTCCTATGTGTTGTAAATCCTATCTTTTGATGTTGATGAGATGGGATTAGCAGCAGTTATGTTAATGAGGCAGGACTCAATCTACAAGATTGAATTGTGTTTTGAGCCAATCTCTTTTGCGATATAAAAGAGAGAAGTGAGCAGAGAGACTTGAGAATCTCATACCACCAAGAAAGCAAAACAGGGAGGAGAGCATGTCCTTTGGACCTGGGGTTCCTGTGCAGAGAAGCTCCTAGACCAGGGGAAGATTGATGACAAGGACCTTCATTCACCCAGAGCCTACAGAGACAGAAAGCCTTCCCTTGGAGCTGGCACCCTGAATTTGGACTTCTAGGCTACTAGACTGCGAGAGAATAAATATCTCTTTGTTAAAGCTGTCCACTTGTGGTATTTCTGTTACAGCAGCACTAGATAACTAAGATAACCAGCAATGAGAAATCTAAAAGGGAAATTAGGAAAACCATTCTATTTATAATAGCATTGAAAAGAATACAATACCTATTAATAAATTTAACCTGGAATGTGAAGGACTTATACAATGAAAATTATAGAACACTGCTGAAAAAGATTAAAGAAGACTTAAATAAATGGAAAAATGTTCTGTGTTCATGGATTGGAAGACTTAGTATAGTTAAGATGTCAGTACTACCCAGAGTGATCTACAGATTCAACATAATCTCAATCAAAATTCCTACAGCCTTATTTACAAAAATAGAAACATCAGTCTTCAACTTTATATGAAATGGCAAGAGACCCCAAATAGCTGAAGCAATGTTGAAGGAGAAGAACAAAGTAGGAGGGCTCACACTTACTGATTTTAAAATATATTAATCAAACAGCCTTGTACTGGTAGAACAAGAGAAACATAGACCAATGGAATAGAATTGAGAGTCCAGAAATAAACCCACACACCTATGGTCAACTAATTTTTGACAAGGGTGCTAAGTCCATTTGATGGGGAAAGAAGAGTCTCTTCAATAAATTGTGCTGGGAAAATTGGATTTCCACATGCATAAAAATGAAGCAGGATCCATACTTCACAGCATATACAAAAACAAATTCAAAATGGAGTAAGAAACTAACATGAAAACTAACACCATAAAATTCTTAGAAAAAAATTCAGGGACAAGGCTATCAGGCCTAGCTTTTAACAATGGATTATCTAATATAATAAAAGCACAAACAGCAAAAGACAAAATAATAAATGGGACCTCATAAATATTTTTGTTAAGTATATACTGTGAAGAGTGTTGAAATGCAAATATTTTGTTACTTATATACTTACCACAATCTTTTAAAAAATGTATATACGGTCCTTGGAATTCTAGGCTTTTCTTATTTTTTTTCTTTGTGCAGAGTTTTCTTTCCCATGTTGAAATTTCATCCATTCTTTGATATCTATCTCAAGAGTCACTATCTTATTGAGAATTTCCATGACTTTGTCAGTCCACTCTCTGTTCTCCCTTTTCTAAACCACTATAGGTCTGTAAAGTTCTCTTGGACAGTATGCTTGTATGACCAGACTTCTTTCAGGTTGTGTAAATCTACATTGCTTTGCGTTAGTATTTGACTTTCCTGTACACCAACCTTGTTTCTCCAATTATATTCTGAGAATCTTCAAAGCAAGGACGATGTCTTAAACCTCTCTCATTTTTCCACAGTGCCCAGCAGAGCCTAGCCAGATACTTATTAAAGAAAAGTGATATATCAGCCAATAATTATAACCTTTTATAATTATTCCTGCATAACTTTTACATAGAAAGTTGAAATATAAGAGTTTGAGCTACACTTGCTTTTATTTTCCCAGAGAGAGAATGCTAATGAGCTGTGAAGTGACCAAAAATCAGGCAGCAGAAGGGAAAAGAAGAAATAATGGTTTGTATATTACACATTCTGGATAATCAGCTCTTGAATGATTAAGTGTGGAAGATCACTTACGGGGAAAAGCTGATTAAAAAAACCCATTTTATGATTATAAAATTGTTTTATAAATCATTTCCAGTTTTCAGATGGTTGTTGGCCAAACTTACAAATTACTTTGAAAAAACATTTGCTTTTATGGTATGCTACATAACTACATGCAAGTACACCTTGTTATCATTTTGCCTTCACCCCAGGGATTATTTGACTAGATGTGAGAATGGTGGCCCAGGAAAATTAAATAAAAAATAAATTGTCCACCTGTGGACTCAGGAAAGAGGTTTTGGAGAAAAAAAATATTACTGTGAGCTCAATTCACCCTTAATACATTTTATAAAAAATACTTGGTGCTTGAGACAACCACCTGATATTAGGGTTTGCCTAAAGCCATAGAGTGAAAGGTTAGTCTATGCTAGTCCAGTATGAAGGCTAAAAAACACAGGAAATGGTAAGAGGTCTAGACTATATTGTCTCTCCCGGGAATTAACAGTTAGGCACTGTGCTACTAACCTAAAGGTTGTTGGTTCTAATCCACCTGCAGCTCCATGGCAGAAAAGACCTGACAATCTGTTCTCATAAAGATTAGTTTCAGAAACCCCATGGGGCAGTTCTACTCTGCCCTATAGGGTCACTATTAGTTGGAATCAGCTTGACAGGACACAACAACAACAATTGAAGAACAAGATAAATTTAGGAATCAGTATTGCTACTTTTAGCCAAAGCTGCAACTGCTGTGGTCTACGTCAAAGCCACCACCATTTAGTCCCCAGAGATTTTCCTAATGGACCTTTATAATGTTTTATTAAACCAGCCCACCATCTTGTGGTTCTCTGGCCTAAGTGCCACAACGCCCAAAATATAGTTCCCTAAATTAAACATTACTAACTTCTGTATTTATGACTGCTTTTTAACTCCACAGTGCACCTCAGGGAGTGTATATTCTAAATATTAGTGTCCTTCCTCCTTCTCTGTGTCATTTGTGTCCTAGCAAAGAAAAACAAAAGCATAAAATATCTTGCAATTTGGTGAAAGATCAGACATTCCCTTATGTTCACCTCATTTGTAGATGCTAATGTTGAAGCAAAATCTTAAAGTGACCAGTGTATTCCTCTGTAGTGGTGGGCCTTTATCATGGCTCTCTGCAATTTTTTTCTTTCTCCAAATAAAGAGAAGCAAGAAAGATGGTGGCATACAGAGAATATATATTGTGAATATTGGATTTTCAAATTTTCTAAAAGGTTAAGTGTTTGTCACTTGGAATAATCTCCCATGGAAATAGTGTGATTAATTATAATTAGATTCCAAGGCAAGGTCATAAAATATAATATTAATAGGTATGGCAGGATAAGTTGATTGAGAAACTATCTTGTTTTCTTGTCTATTGGCTCATCACAGAGGAATGAGAGGTATTTTTTCCTTCTCTTCTCTACAGAGTAGCCAGGGCCTCCCTTGCTCTAGAGGGAGGTGAAGATACGGTGATTCTCTAAAGCCTACCCACCAGCCTCTCCTCAGGAGAAAGATGTGGCAGTCTGCTTCCATAAAGATTTACAGCCTTGCTGAGGGCTCTGGGGACCACTGTCTCAGGGAACATCTAGCTCAACTGGCATAACATAGTTTATAAAGAAAATGTTCTACATTCTACTTTGGTGAGTAGCATCTGGGGTCTTAAAAGCTTGTGTGTGGCCATCTAAGATACTCTACTAGTCTCACCCTGTCGGGAGCAAGGGAGAATGAAGCAAACTACAGATACAAGGTAAAGATTAGTCTAAAGGACTAATGGACCACAGCTAGCATGGCCTCCACCAGACTGAGTCCAGTACAATTAGATGGTGCCTGGCTACCACCACCAACTGCTCTGACAGAGATCACAATAGATGGTCCCAGAAAGAGCTGGAGAAAAATGTAGAACAAAATTCTAACTCACAAAAAAAGACCAGACTTACTGGCCTGACAGAGACTGGAGAAACCCTGAGAGTATGGCCCCCAGATACCCTTTTAGCTCAGTAATGAAGTCACTCATTAGGTTCACCCTTTAGCCAAAGATTAGGTAAGCCCATAAAACAAAATGAGGCTAAAGGGGCACACCAGCCCAGGGGCAAGGACTAGAAGGCAGGAGGGGACAGGAAAGCTAGTAATACAGGGAACCCAAGGTCGAGAAGGGAGAGTGTTGACATGTCGTGGGGTTGGTAACCAATGTCACAAAACAATATGTGTACTAACTGTTTAATGAGAAGCTAGTTTGTTCTGTAAAACTTCATCTAAAGTACAAAAAAAAAAAAAAAAAGATTTACAGCCTTGGAAACCCTATGGGGCAGTTCTACTCTCTCTTACAGGGTTGCTATGAGTCAAAATCCACTTGACAGCAGTGAGTTTGGTTTTTTGGTAGGTAGGCCCAGGGAGGCAGAAGACTCAATGACCTCGGAGGAGAAGGGCTCCAAGGAAAGAAGAATGGCCTGACTCTAGGAGAATTTTGGATCTTTTGAACCCAGAAGGAAAAGAGGACCAGACAGGAGGTAGTTTCCATAAATGGTGAGAATCTATACCCACTCCAAAATAACAGACTAGAATGGTTTAGACCTCTGATGAGGATGCCCACAAAGATGGCTGGAAACAAAAAATAAGCACACTGATCATGGAGTCCTTGACGAAAGCGCCAGTGTCTCTGTTTTGCATGAACAGATGTCATGGCATGGACAGATTCTGTGAGGAGTGGAGGCAACTACTATGCATTAAGTCATGTTTGTTCAGATAATGAGCATTTTAGTGGAGACCATAAGTAATGACAAGAGGCTTATCCTCAGTCTTCTAGTTTGTGTTTTTCCTGACAACTGAGATGGGTGGAGGCTGAGCAAAAAAAAAAAAAAAATTGATTTGATTTAGAAAATGAAGAAATATAGTAATTCTTAAACCTGACTGTTGGTTCCCTGGGAGTCGTGTGTGTGTGTGTGTGTGTGTGTATGTGTGTGTGGTCAGGAAGGGGTTAGTGTTTTATGGAATATTAGTGTATTACCCTTTAACCTGCTTTAGTCAACAGAATGCAGTGGAAGTGATGCTTTGCTAGCTCTAGGCCAAAACCTTAGGAAAGCTGGCAGCTTCTACTTTTGTACTCTAGAAGCTAGACGTCCTGTAAGAAGTCCTACTATCCTGAGGCTACCATACTGTGAAAAAACCCAAGCAGCCATATGGAGAGGCCATGTAGAGGACAACCACAGCCCCCAGCTGACAGCTCCAGCTGAGCTTCCAGCACTAACTGCCAGCCATGTGAGTGAGCACATTTTGGATCTTCTAGCCAGTTCCAGTGTCTCTGCTGACATCACCTAAGTCAGAAGAACCCCAATCAAGCCACAGAATTGTGAAACTCAATGTTGAGGTGGTTTGTTATTCAGCAATAGATAACCAAAGCAGCTAGGATAGTTTCTGAAACCTGCATGGACTTAGACATAGAATACTTTCGTAAGAGAGATGGCTATTTTTAAGAATGAATGTGTGTGTGTGTGTGTGTGTGTGTGTGTGTGTGTGTGTTTTTTTCTCTTATTATTTTATCCAAGAATGGTTTCAATACATATTTGCAATTCAATACATTAAATTGTCACAGAATAGTCTTTGAAAGACGGCAAATTAAAGCTGGCTGTGATCAAATAATTGATTACAATCTAAAACTTTGAATCATTTGTTATAGAATTTGTTTCCTCTAACTGTTGCTAGGGTACTATCCCATGTTAGTGGGTATGACTGAAGACCAGTATTCTTCAAAAATTAAAATCTCTATGACTAATTCTCATATTATATCCGCTAAAGGACACTTGCCCAAGCATGTGGCTTAACTGATGCTACATTTTGTTGTTCTAAGGTTAGAAAATAGATGTTTGTGCTTTAAATCACTTGAGAAAGGGAGTTACACTTTCATCTGTAAAAGACTAGCTGATAGCAAATCAAACCGTCCCAAGAACAACTTGAAAAGGTGGAAAAATGTAAAAAACACATGTGTTTGAAAATATTTAAAAACTACCTAAGAAGCCCAAACTTGAGAGACCAAAATTCTGCAGAAAAAGTAAACTCTTTGAGGAGAGCTCAACATTCTACATTACTTTTTACTTTGAGACATTTGACAATTCCTAAGTAGTAGGAGAGAGTGAGGGGCCGAAAAGCCTAGCAGAAAGCCCAGAAGAAAGCAGAAGGTAAGCAGAGATTCCAAAAATGTCACAGGACAGGGGAGACAAAAATTGGAGTTTGAGGTGACTAAGATAACCAGGACTTGGGCTAAGGTCCTAGAGAGATAAGAAACCTGGAGAGGAGTACCTGACACTGTAAGACTCCCCCTCCTCCCTCCAGGCATTTACTACTTCCTAACTGTGTAGGCTAATAGCAACAGCAAAGAGAATGAGAAGCTCAGGAGAGCTTTCAACAGTCTCAGGATGATAGGGAAACAAAAATTGGAGTTAAGGGTCCTCCAAGAAGAAGGGACTTGCTAACCCCAGGTTCTAATTTGGAACTTCTGAAGAATTATACCCTCAAAGTAAAGAAAAACTCAAAATTGTCTTATATAGACTGAAATAAAGCTTTAGAACAACTCAACCCCTGACTGAATTAAGGTGATATGTCCCTAATCTGCCCGGTAAAAACTTAAATAAATATTCTCTGAAGGAAGACTTATCACCTAGAGTCTCTACAATGTTTCATATTGTAGTCTAGTAGCATCAGACCTCATCTACATCCACCCACAAGGAGAGATGAGAATCAAGATCAGCACAAAGCTGATTCCTATGAGGTAGAGGTCAGACATACTTCCACTCTCCAACTTTTTAACCATTTCTGACACCAGCCCCCTCCTCCCCGCCAACAAGGCACTCTGTACTTCTTAGCTGGGTTGGATAATTTGTTACAATGGCCACACAGTACTCACAGGCCATACCCACAATTATGTGGTTTATTAGAGAATTAACAGGCTACAACTTGGGATCAGGATCAACCTGGAAATAACAGGATATTACTCAGGAGACAGGAGACAGTTTTTCAATCAGGACAGCTGAGAGCTGCTTCTTGACTGTGCCCACTTGGCCTTCTCTTGCCCGTGCCCTGCTCAGGCATGTGTTACAGTTCTTTAGTTCCACAGATAAGTACCTGGAGACACTCCACTCCACCGGCAAGCCTCTTGCCTAAAGGTGCTCAGCTCCCTGTCACTCTGGTGAGTGGGCAAGCCCTCTGCAGCTGCCTCGCGCCCGTCTCCTAGCTCCCACTGGTTGTACTGCTGCTGTGGTTTCTCTGTCGTTGGGCTGTGCTGTGGTTGCTGCCATTTCTCGCTGTTTCATGCTGTCTCCAGTGTTACAGCTCTCTTTCTCCTGTGTCTAGGAGGTTCTCAGCACAGTAACCCTGAGTCCAAAAGATGTGCTTGTCTTCAGGCTCCTCTTGATGGTATGAGGTTCCCCCTCAATCTCTGTGGGATTGGCCCTTAGGTAAGCCTACTCCTTGTCAATTTCAAGGCATGGTCCTCACACCAAGACCAGAACTGACCAATCCATTCAGTAGACCACAGTCACTTAATTTGCATAGTACTCGACCGATTCCCATGACATCATTTAGTCCTACTGGGTAGCTTTATGCATCCTATTTGCATAGAAGACTAACCAATCCTTAGCAAGATTGTGGCCCAGCCAATCATCTTTGGCAGAAGTATAAACCCAAGGCCAGAAAGGCCATATGTAAGAGAAACCCATTGCACTGCACGTACGCAGTGTACAACATTAAATAAAGAATTACTAGGAATACCAAAAAACAGGACTAAAATGAAAAACAATAGCTCAGGCCCACAGGTACTGATGTTTACACAAATAACGTGTGCCTTCTACATTTGTTTGCTGACCATTCCCTCCCCCCACCCCGTGAGGTATTTTCGTTAGTGCTGCTATGCCAATTTTTTTTTACATGTTGCTGTAAAAAAATAGCATAGTGTGCTTACAAAAATAGCTTGCTAGGGGTGGGAGCAGTTGGCAAACAAATGTAGAATGTGTGCATTATTTGAGTAAAAATACAGTAATCTAGATAATGGAGTTGTCAGACATAAACTTAAAAATAAACATGATTCTTGAGCATTGTGGAGACCCTGATGCTGTAGTAGTTAAGAGCTACAGCTGCTAACCAAAAGGTCAGCAGTTTGAAGCCACCAGGCGCTCTTTCGAAACCCTATGGGGCAGTTCTACTGTGTCCTACAGGGTCACTATGAGTCAGAATCCACCTGACGGCAACAGGTTTGGTTTTTTTTGGGTTTTTTTGAGCATTATGCTCTTTTGAAGAACTAGCTGTATGGGATCAAATTGACAACGATAACTTGAAAGTTCAGATAGGAAACTTAGGGGCAGTGAGTTTATGTTAGTGGGGGAGGAACAATTTGGAAAGGAGGATTAGAATGGTTGTACAACTCGAAGAAGGTAATCATTGTCATTGAATTGTACATGTAGAAATTGTTGGGTTGGTGTATGTTTTGCTGTGTATATTTCCAGGAGCAGTATATTTGCAACAACAATAAACAATTAAAATAAAGGCTTTCCATTAAAAAATAAGCATGATTAATATTTTCAAGAAAATAAATAACAAAGTAGAGACTTTCACCAGAGAAACTGAATTCATAAAAATAAATTCTAGACCTGAAAAGTACAATAACTGAAATTAAGAATGCAAGCTTTGGGTTTAACAGCAAACTGAATGCAGCAGAAGACAGGATTGGTGTGCTGATAAGGATACCTAGTATCATTATTTCTATTCAACATTATGCTAGAGATTCTAGGCAGTAAAATCAGACAAGAAAAATGTTTAAGGACATTAAAAGAATAATTACAACTATTATTATATGACACAACATGTATCTATGGAAAAATTAACATAAGACAGAGAGAAAAAGATTTGTGACTGTATTTGGCAAAAATTTCTTAAATAGGACACAAAGAGAATAACAAATAAAAGGAAAAATAATAAATAGGATTTCGTGAAAATAAAATTTTTTTTTGTTGTTGTTCTTCATGAGATAGTGTTAAGAAAATAAAAATGCAAACCACAGTCTGGAAGAAAGTATCTGTAAGACATATAACTGATAAAGATACTCTGTATCAAGACTACATAAAGAATTCTTACAACTCAATAAGACCTCAAATGAAAATGAACTCAATTTTAAAAATGGGCAAAAGATTTGAACAGACACTTTATAAATGCCAATAAGCAATTGACAAGATGCTCAACATCATTAGTCATCAACGAAATGAAAATTATAATCATAATGAAATATCATAACACACCCACCAAAATGGCTAACATTAACAATACTGATAATACTAAGTGTTGGCAAGGATATAGAGCAACTGTAACTCTCATATATTGCCGGTGGAAATATAATTGGTATCTCATTTATAAACAGCTTGATAATTTTTTAAAATAAAGTTAAACATACACTTACCATAAGACCCAGTAACCCCACTGCTATATATCTACCTAAGACAAATGAAAACATACACGTACATAAAGACTTGTACTTGAATGTTCATTGTAGCTTTATTTATAACAGCCAAAAATTGTAAACAACAAGTGTCCATCAACAGGTAAATGGATAAGCAACAGTGGTATATTCATACAATGGAATACTATTAGCAATAAATAGGAATGAACTACTGATACATGAAGTGACATGGATGAAATCTCAAAAGCATTGAAAAGAGCATTCTTTCAAGCTCAGTGAAAGAAGCCAGACACAAAAGACCACTTACTGAATGATTCCACTTCCATAAAATTCTAGAAAAGACAAACTTACAGTAACAGAAAGCATATCAGTATTGCCAGGGGTCAGGGGTTAGGAGAAGGGAATTGACTTTAAAAGGACACAAGGGAACTTTTGGGGGGTAATGGAAATATTATGAATGTGATGGTAGTTACATTATAGTATACATTTATAAAATTATAGAATTATGTTTGTAAAATTGGTGAATTTTATTGTATGAAATTATATCTCAATAAAGTTAATTCAAAATATGGGCCAAAGACTTGAACAGGTATTTCATAAGAGAAAGTATCCAAATGGCCAATAAGTATAGGAGAAGGCACAAATTAAAATCACAATGAGATCCATTACACACCTATCAGAAAGTCTAAAATGGAAAAGATTGAAAATACCAAGTATTGGTGAGGATATGAAGCAACTGGGATTTTCATACACTACTGGTGAGAATGCAGATTGGTATGCCACTTTGGAAAACTGTTTAGCAGTATCTAAGAAAACTCAACGTGCACATAACCTATGACCCAGCAATTCCAGTCTTATTTGTGGTAGCCCAAACTGAGAAACAACCCAAGTGTCCATCAATAGTAGAATGGGTAAATAAATATGGTATATCTGCACAACGCAACACTACCTACCTTTTTACGCAAATAACATGTACCTTCTACATTTGCGAACTATTCCCTCCCCTGAAAGGTATTTTCATTAGTGCTGCTATGCCAATTTTTTTACATGTTGCTGTAAAAAAAAAAAAAAAAAAAATAGCATAGCACATTTACAAAAATACCTCGCAGGGAGAGGGAGTAGTTGACAAACATAGTAGATGTGCGTTATTTGCATAAAAATACGGTACACAGCAATAAAAATGAATGAACTACTACTATAGAGAGTGACATGGAAGGAGCTTATAAACATAATGTTGAATGTAAGAAGCCATAAAAAGAGTACATTTATTTAAAGTTCAAAAACAGAAGAGACTAAGCTATAGTGACAGAAGTCAGGTGTGGTTACCGGACAGAAGGTGATAATTGGATGGGAGTATCAAGAGACTTCTAGAGTGCCAGTAAGTTCCCTGGGTGGTGCAAACAATTTTCACTTGACTACTAAACTTAAGGTTGGTGGTTCAAACCCAACCAGCAGGGCTGCAGAAGAAAGGCCTGGTGATCTGCTTTCATAAAGATTATGGACAAGAAAACCCTATGGAGTAGTTCTACTCTGTAACACATGTGGACGCTATGAGTCAGAATCAACTCAATGACAACAGGTTTGTTTTTTTGGTTTTGGAGTAATAGTAATGTTCTATTTTTTGATCTTCATGGTGGTTACATGGGTGTGCTCACATTGTGAAAATTTATTGAGACTCTACCGTTATGATTCATACCATGTTCTTTATGTATGCTATGCTCGATATAAAGTTAGTTTAAAAAGTTGTAATCGCACGAATGCCTGCATAACAGTCATAACACAGAGCATAATTTATAACCAAGTACATACATTCATCTGAATTTGCCTGATCTAAGAATATCTTATAAATGGAAATCCAAACATACAAAACAGAAAATTACTTGTAGCACAAAAAGCACCTTTCAGTTTACAAAGCAACACATCAAATACATGAAAGGAACAAGGATAATACCATAGCAGACCCATTTTTCAATTTTATAAACTTATCCTAAGGAAGGAAATAACCCACCAGAAGCACAAATCTTGCTGTGAATCTGTTCATTTTAATCATTATGTCTACTAGCAAAAAAATAAAATAAAATAAAATGAACCCAAATATCCAATTACTGTATCAAAATTTAATAAATTATATCAACACAAGGTAATAACATACATTAAAAATGATGAATGGAAGACCTTATAAAACACTAAAAAATTTTGCAGGTATAATGTTAGATAGAACAATCTAAATGTAAAACAATATGCACACCATGTTTCTAACGATGTAAAAATGGACCAATAGGCAATCTGAAAAAATAAAAAGTTGTTGCCATGGATTGAATTGTGTCCCCCAAAAATATCTGTCAACTTGGCTGGGTCATGATTCCCAGTATTGTATGATTGTGTACCATTTTGTAATCTGATGTGATTTCCTTATGTGTTGTAAACTCTATCACTATGATGTAATAAGATGGATTAGCAGCAGTTGTACTGATGAGGTCTACAAGATTAGATAGTATCTTAAACCAATCTCTTTTGAGATATAAAAGAGAGAAGCAAGCAGAGACACACGGGAAACTCATACCACCAAGAAAGCAGCACTGGGAGCAGAGTGTGTCCTTTGAACCTGAGGTTCCTGCACAGAGAAGCTCCCAGACCAAGGGAAGACTGATGATACGGACCTTCCTCCAGAGCCGATGGAGAAAGCATTCCCCTGGAGCTGATGCCCTGAATTTGGACTTGTAGGCTACTGGACTGTGAGAAAATAAATTACTCTTTGTTAAAGCCATCTACTTGTGGTATTTCTGTTACAGGAGCACTAGATGACCAAGACAGTTGTGTTGGAATAGTAGATTTATCAATTTTTTCCAGAGGGTTAACGACACCCCCTCCCCACCCTACCCCTCTGCCAAATGTTCTTTATTATTATTTGGGCTAGTTAGAATTCTTTTGTTGCAAGCAACAGAAACTAACTTAAATTAAAAAGAGATTTATGGAGTCACATTGGAGTAGCTTACAGAAGTAAAGGAGG